ACACACACACACACACACACACACACACACACACACACACACACACATAATATTTCAATTTTTTAGAAATATATAACATGCTATATAATATTTAAGAGTATAGATTCATTAGATTTCGTATAGATATAGGATAAAAACAATCGAATTTCGGATATTTAGGAGAATTCACTCTCAATTCGTGATTTCGCGTAAATGCTACTACAGCGAAATCGGCGTCAGCATATAGCACTTTTTCCATTATGGGGAGATAATGAGAGGTGAAACCGTGACTTATATAATTTTAAAAATTTGAAATTAAATTAAACCCGTTATTCTCGTAACAAGGAGGGCGAGTCCTTTACAATTTCATTTTTAATCATTCGTTGACAGGATCCTTACAGGTCTTATCTTTCGCCTGAAAACCAAACTTATTGCGGATTGCGGCTTCGTGACGCCGTCGAGTAAATGTTCTCTGATTTACGGCACATTGCGTGTACGTAACGCGTTCGTGTCGCAAAGCCGTCGACGCTATGAATCACGATGGCCCCTACTTTAGTACTGGATATATATACATATTCTACTTGTACTCGTTTAACTAATTTGTAATTGGTTAGTATTTGTATCGTTTGAACAGCTTCTTTCAAGCCACATGAAGTAATTTTCCTCTTTCCTATTAGTCGCTGAAATGAGCTGCTTTAAAAATAAAAGAAAAGAAAATTCACGGATCCAAAATGATTAAAATCAAAAAGTTTTAATGATTTTTTTCCATTGAGTTAAAAACAAAAATACATTAGTATTATAATTGATGCCGAGTGGCCGTAGTGTCGTCACTATATCTTTTAATCTCAGGTTTCACCGTGTAACGCGATAGTCCCGGATACTAGCAATGAATAATGTGTTGCCTCTGAAGTGGTATTTTTTTCTCGTTTTTAATATTGTATTTTCTCTTTTCCGTGTACTTCTCTTTCTCTTTCTTTAAAAAAAAAAAAAAATAATAATTTTCCTGGTCACGGAGAATTGTAGTGATAAAAATAACGGTTAATCATACAATAGTGTTTCATCATAGGTAAATTTAGATTCGAAATTTCTCGTGAACGTATTCGTGTGTATTGAAAACCTAGTCAAATGATGAACACTGATTGAACGCCGGATAAAATTGATATCAGTTATTTTTAAAGGAGTTAAATCAAGAAAATATGTTAAATGAAAGTTACATGATTATTATATAATAAAATATTTGCGTTTTATCACGCAAGTAAACAGTAACATAGCATTAAACCACATTTTGAGATCAATAATCGAACATGCACAAGACTCTGAACCCAAGAAGTATAAACTAAGATAATGGTTTTAATGGTGTTATAATCAAATAGGTCTTTATTATAGCGGGGATTTCATGTGATTGAATATACAACATTAAAACTTTGTGCACCATTACAAATATGTATTAATTTTGCCTATACATGACGCCGTCATAGTATTTTTTTTTTCTAACGAATGTCGGGAGTTATTACGAATATGAGGGGTGATAAGGATAAGGACTTATATTTACATAGTATAATAATAATTTCTATCATAATCAAAAATATATTAAGCAATACAACAAGTTTTTATTATGATTGTTTAACGCATGGTTCTCGATCTGGAGGCATGCCCCCCTAGGGAGGCGTGACAACATTTCAGGAAGGGCGAGAAAATGTTGAAAAAAAACACGAAAAATGAAAATTTTGCCGTTTTCCACGCCTTGTCTTGTCGCTGTGTTGATCGCAGCCTTTTTCGATTTTATTTTTATGCAAATAAATAAATTTAAAATTAAAAAACCGTCATTGAAGTTGTAATCTTATTAATCCAATAACCAACATTAAAGTATAGTTTACATATAAATATTATGCATATACCAATCTTATAATAGTGAGAGGGTGGGGCGTAAACTGATAAAATAGTTTTAAAGGGGGTGCGGACCTCAAAAGGTTGAAATCAATGATTTAACGTAATTAATTAATGAGTATTATTTACAAAATTTCAAAATTTTTCTACACATGTAAAAAAGAATTTGAACTACAGAAAACGTTTGATATTAGTAAAAATTGTATATCGTTTTATTTTTTTGGAAAATATTTGATAATGTGTTAATTGTATTATATTTATATAACAATGCTTATTTTTTTTGCAAAAAATTTTTTGTCCTGTAAAATTCCATTAAAAGTTTAATTCGTAGTAAATGTAAAGAGTACAAATCGTACATAAATACGTATATCAATTTTCAATAGGATTTTTTGAGTTAAAGTGTACAATAATAACTTGGAAATAATGATGGTATTGACATATTAACAATATTATTCCTGTCGATGAAATAAATGATTTATATTTTAATTTAATTTTACTAGACCTATTATTTGCCAGTGTTGCAAAAATCGAAAAATAAGACTGGGTAAACAATAACATTTTCAACAGGAATTTCAACAGCAGAAAGTGCACAGGAATGAAATAATGCCTTTTAAAAAGCAACAAAATATCGAGTTTAAATTGCATATTACGTTATTGTATTATATTATATTTAGCGAACAACACGGGGCGAATAAAAAAAAAAAAAAAAAACATTTCGTAGAATATTTTTTTTATATTTTGTTTTAAATCAAAGTAAAAGTAAAATAAAACGTTTTAAGTAGCTTTTATTAAAATAAGTTTATTTTCATCTATACGCATGACTTTGCTCTATTCATATTACATGTTATCACGCCTTTTCGTAAATGATTCGCAATGGTACACAATAATAATTTAATAATTTTACTATACGTAAGTGATTGTATTGTATTATGTTTTTATTTTTATTTTTCAGATAATGGGAATATTTTTATTTGGTTACGTAGTATACACAAGGCTTGATACGGTGCTCCAAGAATGGGTTGATGCCCTGGAAATATGGCAGGTTTATTTAGGCATGTACATATTGATATTTGGATCCATTGTGGTGATAATTGCTCCGTTTTTGTCGTGTTACGCGGTCTATCAAGAAATCACTCAACTACTAATGGCCGTGAGTACAACATTTATAAAAATAAAATATTTGATAATTTATATTTTTAGAATCACATTATATTCATGGATCGAATAAAGATACGAATAAACACAAGTTAACATTAATATTGTTTCTTTTGAAACCTAATATTTTTTTATAATATTTTAATATCCTGTAGGAATGATATAAATTAAAACGAAATCGATTTAACTGATTTTTTTTTTTTTTTTTAATACGTTTTAAGATTATTAAGACAAAATTATTTTTTTTAAATTTAATGCTCAAGTTATAGAGAAAAAAAATACGATTTAATATTAATTCATAAAGTATAAATCTGTTTTATCATAGATATTTTATTTTAATTTTTTTTTAAAGATTTTATTTTTGACGCTGAATTTGAATCAACAAATATATTTACACTAGCAATTAATATAGAAATTATATAAATTTAAAGTTTACCTATTATTCTGATAACAAACTAGTAAATTACTTAGAACCGTATGGGTATAGATATTATAATTTGATCAATTAATTTAATAGCTTAATAATAATAACTTAATAATAATTAATAACTTAATGATAAGGTAAGTTAATGATCAACGCATATTTTTTTTTTTCATATTAAATCTAGTAGTATTTTTGATTTTTTAAAAATGTTCAGTATTATATTTTATTCTAAATGTCTCATTTATGGCATTTAGTAAATTTTATATTTTAAGCATTAAATTTAAAACGTAATATTGTAATCAATTACAATAATGTGATTGAAAACTTGGGATCTCGCTTTGGCCATACATATTATTCGTTACATTACACGAACGCATTTAATGTCTTGTTCATAAAAAAAAAAAAACAAATAGCAATATTTTTTTTCTAAAAGTACTATTGATTCAAAAGAAAAAAATATGTCCATTAAAGTAAATATTTTTTACCTAAAAGAGTATGAAAAGCAAAAAAACACAGATTATAGGTACTAGTAACCTTGGTATAATTGTGTTAGGTGCTAATCCTAATTTTATATTTATTCCTTTTTATTTAGCTACGAGTAAAGCTATTTAACTCAAGACTTAGTTCAAAAATTACAAATACTATTAAAGTTTGAGTGAAAATTATAATGACAGTATGAGAAATGATAAAAATAAATTCCAATATGTTGATTATAATATAATATTATATTATATTATTATTATTTATTATATTTTATAATCCAATTAAAATTAAAATAATATAGTATGCCAATTGCCTAAAATTAACATTTAAAATATATAGGAGTTTAATAATTAAATTCCTATATATTTATTAAATTAGTTATATTGAAATATAAAATATAAACTTAGGATGATAATAAAATATAGAGAAAGTTATCATAATAAAAAGTTCATCGATTTAATATAAATTTATGTTTGTGATTTTGGATTCAGTTAAGTATGGATATAGATAATGAGAGTTAGTTACATATTACACCGAGTTAAAATATGTATGCGCTGCCTTATAGTTTCTTCTGCATATGAATTTGAGTTTTTCAAAAACAAGTTTTTCGTTGGATCAGGTATTTGTAGATGAGGGTTCAGTTATGACTGGCAAGACTTTTGTAGGTACCTATTGGTGATTATGATGGTAGTGGTGTAATTGTAGAGTGATTTATCTTGTTAAAAGTGTTGACATTTTTTTTTTCAAAAAAGGACAGCTTTTATAATTCACAGTATGTGCATCAGAATAAAACGCGTATTTTGCTGGTAATTCATATAATTTTAAGCAGTTCTCGATTAGATGTTTGCTTCTATATTAGACACATCTTGGTGTTTGATTATAGTAGGAGAATGTGCAACCGTATTAGTAACACCGTATGAATGCTGGTGTGAGACAGTCATGGTGCTGTTTTTAAACCATTATTTTGAAGTTTAATAAAGACGATAGTTGAGAAATGGCATGACTGAAATCGTTTAAATCAAAGACAACAGTAAAAAATGATTAAGCTTCTTTACTTTTTCTATGGTAGATGTTTAATACACTCATGACGGAGAAGGCCGAATCCCGGAGGGCCGTAACGATATCCTCTACGAGAATAAACATTCGATATAGATAATATACCGTAATGAACTACGTATTGGCTGTTAAACTCGAGTAATATATTTCAGTATGGAGTATTTAGTCACAACAATAATGAATATCGAAGGCTATATTTTGCTCTCGAGCTCATCTTATTCATCACATAGATGGTGTGATGGATGCATTGTCTATTTATATTGTGATGTAGGTGAGACTGTGACGGGAGGAGAACTGAAAACTTCGGAGAGATAATCATCCACGGGGTAGGAAGAAAAATGGTTGGACACCACAAAGGTCTAGTTTTTCTTTAAATTTGCATCTGGTTTGGTCGTAGAGGAAAACGACCAATTTCATTTAGACGAATCATGAAATTTAACGAGATACATGATGAACAAACCCGTATATTGAGCTATAACGTGAGTATAATTAAACTATAATAATAATACTGATAGCAATTGCGTGCACGGCGTAATGAACATGTGAGCTTAACAGTGGATGGCACAGAACTGTACTGATTACATTATTCGACCATATTATGCACGCTGAGTATAATCAAGTTTTAATAAAATGATATGTTCATAAACAATTGAAACCCACGTGATGAGTATACGGTTGTTCAAATGAATATACAAATTATTGACTCGTAAAAAACAGATTGATTTGTCGTTTCATTCTACTTGGGTTCTATTATTATGCTAAACGAGCAAACATATTAGCAATTCTTTCTTGGGTGCATTTTTTGGCTTCGGATTGTTGTTGACAGTTCAGATTCATTGTATGTTTCATTTTCAGAACGTATGTTCTCGTTGTTGTCATAAAAATCATTTTTTTTTTCTTATTTCTAAACTGATATCTGTAATAATTGTGACATCTGCATTATATTTTGATTGTTAACTATATTATATTTATTTTGTTCGTGACCTGTCGGTATCTATAAATAATACATTTTATTCGATTTAAACCCGCTTATTTAAGTATGTAAATTAAATAAACATTATGACTTAATATTTCAAAGAATATTACACAAATAGTTGCAATATTTGTGCTAACAGAATCTCGTTTAAGAAATTAAATATAAAATTATCTTAGACACTAAAATTATTCTTCTAAGTGATTCCTTAGAATATGAAATCAATTGAACTATTAAAAAGTGAAATGTTAAAAAACTATATTTTAAATTTGGAAAAAGTTGTTTTTATTAATTTTTATTATTAAAAAGATAAGATAATTTAACCCTTTCAATGCTGAAATAGATTTCTGTATAATGTGTACTGTGCTGAATAAATTTTAAATTTTTCAAGAATTTGAAATTTCTTCTTACAAAAAGTTTAACTAACATATATTCTGAAGAAAAAATGTTTAAAAAAAAATAATTAATTTTTGACCGAATTATTCATTTTTTATTTTCCTAAACCAGTGTTTTTCAAATCTTAGGCATATCAGTATAAAACGTTCAAATATTACCGCATACATATAATATTTATTATTTATAATATTTCTTTTTTCCTTAGTAAAATCAGTAAAAATTTACATAGATGTAAGAACAATTTTATTTGTAAATAACCGTCAAAAACAACAAAAATTATTATTGCCATGGATGCAATATCATATTTATTTTTTGGTAATCACTGGAAATGACAAAATATAAATTCATTCATAACATCTTTGGAATTGAACGAAAAACAATTTTTTTTTTTTAAATATGTATTATAAAACTAAATTAAAATATTTATTCACTTAATTTTTGATCTGCGCTCATAAATCATTAATTTTTGGTCAATGATCCATTTAATAAAAAAAAAACTCTTCAGTAAATTATGTAAGTCTGAACAATAATAATTTTTATTAAACTCGTTTTATTATATTTGAAGATTTTAGTTTCTCTACGAGAGTGTAATAAAAATAATTAAAAATTAAAAATGAAACATAAAACAGTAGGTAATATTTTTGTATTCAATCAATTAATATTCCATATTTTTAGCAACACGGACCTTTGTAAGATAACTATTACGTTTTAATGTAGTTATATCATACGGCAAATGATGAAAAGTAATTTGTTCTAAAATGTGAAACCAATAATGTAGTGATTGATGGTGAAAGGGGAATTTTATTATAAAAATGTATTATAAAAAAGGGAATGATGATGCTGATTGACAAAGATGTGATTTCATTATTTTTCAGCATGTAATAAATGGATTAAAAATACTTTAAGTTATTATTTTATTTGAGCATAATATAAACTAATTATCCTTCAAGAAGATCTTTCCGTGATTTTGAACAAATTTAAAACGCTCCTTCTGGGTTCTTCATTAAATCAGATAGCTGAACTACCAACAAATGTGCACTAAAGTTAGCAATCTTGAAATTTCCTAAAGAAGAAAATATTCTAAGTGAAACTTGAAATTCAAACAATTCATGTAGTTGAAGACATAAATAGGTAGGGAAACATCTCGGGCTTGACAACGGTTTGAGTGAATGATATTCATTAATAACGAACTGTTGGGTTCACGTTTCTGGATCCATGTTGAAAGCCAAAAGGTTTTAAAACAGAGAACGGGTAACGAGCGATTTATACTGTTACTGATAGTTGTTACAGAAAGAAATGATTTATGTATTTTATTTAACAGTATTTTTGAATTCCGCAAGTTTCTTGAAACGCTACTTTTTTTTTTTCAAATTTAAACCTCATACGATCTTCAGTTTACTCGTTTCGGTTTAGACGGGTAACGACTTAATGTTGGCTAACAGAACTGGTCCGTCTCAACTTCCTGCATTATCTGTAATGATAACAAAATTTATTGTTTTCGTAAACTTTTTATTTGTACACTTCTAAACGAATTCGTCGCACACGCATCATTCGACCGGATATTCTCGAATGGTGGCCTACTTGTATATAATCTAAGGTGGTCGCAACAAACGGAACAACGAACGTCGAACCGGGGACGTACCGCCAGGCGTGTTGTGCACCT